AGGATTGATGACTGGTATTTCATTTTTGGGTGAACTGATGGAAGTCCATTACAGCTTGTTTTTAGTTTAAATTCTCTGTACTGACTTAATTAATGAAGTGACCATGGACCGGATGTGCCCAGTGTTCAGTACTGTATTCCACAAGGTTGGGGTATGATTTCATTTGCTAAACATGACAGTATTTTTAGCCTGTGGATGAATACCACTATTCTCAGTTGATCTGTTACCCTTTAAGTGGAGAATCCGAATCTCGATGCTGGAGTCTTCACAACAGCTATCAGGATTGAAACACTCCTGCTCATTACATGTCATTACAACTGAACAATACATGTGAGCTTTGAGATCTGACAGGATCGTCATTGCACAGATCATGCCTGTAGATGGCACTACACACATACACAACAGTGACCTCATGTTAGATTATGCTAATACTTAATCAAAAGAGAGGCGATGATTAAAGCAGAACTAATTTTGATTTAAATGCGCTTAACTTTTTTTAAATAAAGCTTTGTCATTTGTTTCTTTCTGATTAATTTTGAATACATGTAATTTATTTGTACTTAATGTCATTGATTGTAATGGTTGGAGGCAAACTGCAACAAAAAAAAATCACTTTTGAGAACAAAATGAATGATGGAACACTGTCTTGTGAAAAATTATGTTGTGATTTTGTTGGTGGTAAACAAAGAATGGTCTAAATAGTCTTTACTAAAGTAAAGGCATTTATTTGTTTAGCCTTATTATGTTCTCGGTGCCATTGAGATTGTAGACTGAATTCTGATTCTAATTTGATTGGGCAGTAGTGGCCTGTCTGTCCGGTGGGAAAGTTGACGTACTGTAACTGCATGTAGCATCACCGACTTGTGCCATAAAACTATTTTTTAAAAGCACCAAAGTTTATTCATAATGTTTAATTGCGTTTTAATCTGGTGTACTCCTGCCTTATTTTTACTGTTTGAAGGAGGGATAAATAATTAAGGAAGTAAAAAAAGCTACTCACGTTGAAACTATTAAAAGAACTTGAAACCAAGTGAAAAATAGAAAAATAAATGTGCACTGAAATAGTCAAACTTTTGAGGTGTGTTTTTTTTTTTTACTATTGGCAGCTTCATATTGAGACTTTGTGCTTGTATATTTGCTTCCTTAGTGAGGTAACTGGTATCTCAGTGTATATAAGGTATACATTTTAGTTTTTGAGAGAAAACCAATGTGACTTAATTTTTTTAAGATAATTTCAGCAATGTGGTTGTCCTTCACTTGAGAGTGCAATTCTGTACTGTGTTTGGTGAAAGATAAGCAAGTGTTGTATTGTGGATCTGATTTTTTTTTAGCATAGTGTTGCAGTGTTTTCCAAAGCCATAATTAAAAAAATAAATAAATCAAAGCTGGAAAAAGATAGGTATATGTGCCCACGTCCAGGAGAGCACAATAAAAGGAAAATGGTCTTTTACTTTCGCTCACTTTATTTTTTACTCTTAGCTAGCCTAATCATTTTAAGTTTTAAACAATTGTATCTAAAATGTATATAGCATAATTTTATTTTTGTTTGGATGAATTATTGTTTTGTAATTAATATCAACGTTATTTGTATATGACCTTTATATTGTTAATCGTGAAATAAAATGTTATTAACACTTTATTTGAGGTTATTGTTTTGAGAAGTTGGGAAGTTTATATAGAATAATAACAGAATTTGATAATCCTTTATGATTTATATAACATTAAACAACTTTTATGTATACATGGTTATTGTAGCCATGGTAACCACAAATTTGTTACTTCAAATAATAATTTACAAAGAAGTATTCAGATAATATTTTTTTGTTGTAAAAAAAACAGACCTAAGCGAACCACAGCCTTTAAAATGACTTAAAATGCATTATATAAAAACAATGAGGCAATAATGATTGGTTAATTAATAATAATAATATAGTCTTTGGTAAAGCCTCGCCGGTTACCAGGCAACGCACAGACTAAAAAACTGGTCTGGAGAAGCATATGTGAGTGGAGCGGAGCAAAAGAAAATCCCCCTACCCCTCAAAGCTTTCTGCAAACACTCGGCTGAAACTCCACTCCGAGTTTTCCCGCCCACTTCAGCTGATGAAATTAACAAACTACGAAATCGTCTTCGCAGGGCCGCTGCTGGCCAAATGGGTGCCCTTAGCAGAATTGTATTATTGTGTCCCCTCCCCCAAATATTATGAAAGTAAAAAAAAAAAACTTCTACAGGGGTCAGAATAGAACTTTAATAAAATATAAAAGTAAATAAATAAATAAATACATTGTAATTAAATTGTATTATGTGTAGGCTACAAAAAAATTTAAGATATTTGAATTAAATGTTTGGTCAATATTAAACATAACAACAGCAATTACCAGGCCTTTGGAGCTCTTTGCAGGCATTTGTAATAATATGTATTGTACATAAATTGTTTATTTTGTATTACATTATGTATTTTAACAGTGTATTCAATAAAACCATATTATTATTATTAATTAACCAATCATTATTGCCTCATTGTTTTTATATAATGCATTTTAAAGGTCTGTTTTTATTACCACAAAAAAATATTATCTGAATACTTCTTTGTAAATTATTATTTGAAGTAACAAAACCATGGTTAATTTGTGTGGTTAATTTTTGGTTACCATGGCTACAATAACCATGTTTTTTTTTTTTTTTTGTAGTAAAACCATGGTTAATTTTTGTAAGGGAATATGGAAACTAGGCCTATAAGAGAGAATATTAAGGCAGATGCAGTGGTGGTGGTGAAATTATTACCGACATTAAAACACGTTATTAATGTCAACAGCTAAAAAAGTTTCACAGGATTATGAACGTACCTGAAAGTGATGCACGGGATTTATCTTTTTTTTTTCTTTTCTTTTCTGTTCTTTTCTTTTCTTTTCTCAGGCATAGTTCATCAATTATGATCATTTGCAGTCAGCTGCAAACATGAGGTGAGGGAGGGCGCGGATGCGGGAATGGCGCGTCACGTGTGCTTAGCCTATACTGCCAACTGCATTCACCTTGAAATGCATATATATATATATATGTCCATGTTTACATTTTAATTTATGTAAATGTATATGTTAATATTAATATAGAAAGAAATGTTTTTTTTTTAAACCCCGGGAGGGTCGCCGTAATTTTGCCAAGTAAGACATGTTCCTGGATCAACATCCTTTGTTGATCCAGGATCAACATTACTGTCCAAAAATATAGACTAAACCCAATCCCTACCCCTAAACCTAACCCTACCCATCATTTATTCCTAAAAACAGTGTGAAATGATAGCTGATTAGCAAGGGTGTAGAAGCACCTAACCCTGATCGTAAGCCTAAAACAGATATTTCCTGAAATGTTATCCCTCAATTCTGATTGGTTAATTGGAATGTTGTTCCAGGATCAACAAGGATGTTGATCCAGGAACATGTTGTAGGCTACTTGGTGAAATCACGGTCACCCCCCTGGGAGTTGGTGCCCTACGCAAACTGCGTACTCTGCGTATAGGGAGCGGCGGTACTGCGTCTTCGTGTATCAGACATTTGTATTGGTTACTAAAACCATATTGTAGATTATCTAGTGCACTTATTCCACGTGCATTAAATGACTTGAGAAAACCACAATAACAGGGTTATTATCACTCCTTTCACATGTAGTGGACTTAACGACATCTGCTATATCCTCCTGACTACCAGGAAAAAACTGTTTTGTGAATTTAGTATTTTGTCATGTCATTACATTATATTTTATTAATATGTTATGCCATGTCCTAAGTAGAGGACATCGGGACTTTACAAAGTCCTGTTTTTAAAAAAAAATAAAAAGACATGAATAGACATGAAAAGGCAAAAAGAGTGGGATTTTTGTTTTAACCAGGAATCCATTTAAATTTTTTATACCAAACGTTATATAAAGATGATTCTCAACTATGTTATGAAATATATTTTTAAAAACTATTTTCTTTATGCAAACTGTGTGTAAAATGGCTGTAAACGAGTTTTTCCATTATATACAATGTATCTATAAACTGTATCTAATTTGCATATTAATGTGTTTTTGGGGCAACATAGAATGAACAAATAAGTGCAATAATGGGAGTAATAATTAGCAAGATTTTCATAATAATATCTAATATTTAATATGAATATTGATATATAATTTTTTCTCTATTCATTTGTTGTGTCTCCCAAAATGTGTAATAAACATGCTTTAACTCCTGGTGTCCTCTACAGTGGACATTATGTATGAAATTGATGTCCTGTTTCATAACAGAAGGTCATATTTTAAACCCCATAACATTTTCCTGAGATGTTGATTTATGGCATACAATTTGTCAATTAGTCAGATTTAAATGATAATTACAAAATATTATCATATTTCCATTAGGGTGTTACATTTGATCACTAAATGAATGTCAGCCATTTTTAAAGACCAAGGAGGGGGAGTGGTCATGGTGAAACATCCAATCATTTGGTATCTCTGAAAAGCCCTGAATGTGCTCTGTACGCTGTACGGACATCCAGATTTAAAACTGTGACATGTAACGTCTCCGAGAAATCGCTAAAACATAATGTCCTCTACAGTGGACAAAACTCCATAGCATAGCCTATATAGGGGAATAGTAAATAGTTAAATGAGGGCATATGGGGAGCGATTCCAGACATTCTGGCACGAGACAAACCACCAAACACTCCTTGCTCCAATAAAACTCCACTCCGCTTTCACTCCCCATTGCTCACGTAGCCTACAGTAGGCTACTAGACTCGAAAAATGCATATAATACATAACAACAAACTAAAAATAAAATATCAACTTTAAATTAAGTCAATACACATACTCTTGGTTTGAGTTATACAAACAGAGAACAGCCCATATGCTAATTAAATATTCATGAAACGCCGCTCGGCCAATCAAATTCGAGGACTGGAACTAAACGTTGTATAATTCAGCTGTACTTCAGCTCAGTTTATTGTAATACATGACGCGCCTTAGCTTAATGTGCGACTGCAAAGAACCACTAGAGATGCACGTATGAGATAGGATGTGCAGTGGAGAGTTCCTCAGAGCATCGATGTTTCCTCCATCAGTTGCATCATTGCCCTGGTACTGAAGGAGCCGCTTCCTGCCGTCTGTCATCGCGATGATGAGGATGATGCCGTTCAGTAGACGCAGGACGCACGAGCACTCTTGAGCCAGATCACTTTAATCGATCGTGACATTGTGGGATACAACAGTTGTACGTTGGCCAAGATAACGAAGGATTGAAATCTCGTCTTTCTCGCGAAACCTCTCCCGTTATTCTGGGGCAGATCCGTCTTTAAGTCCCCCTTTGAGATGCGTATTGATCTTTTTTAAAGATGTCGTCATCCTATATGTTCATGGGTCGGTTCTTTGAAGGGCAGAGATGTGGAAGTGAAGGAGCACGTTCATTCTCTTCATTATAACGCCTCATCTGTTGGATACCAATATAAGCCACGCTAATGGAAAATACGGTGAGTGCTGGATAATATGCGCAGTGTTATCGAAGGCTTTTATGGCCATGTTATATGGGAAAGAGTGACTAATCAGGAACTTATTGACATTTAAATGGTTTACAGTGGGATGTAGTAGTATTACACAACGTGTCTGCGAGCATGAATTGTTTCACATCTGTGGTGTTTATAATAAGCACAATAACGCTCAGAAGTTATCACTTAAGATCACGGTAAACCCAAATGTTCAAATTATCCATAAAAATACAAAAAAATGAATTTATTTTCTAAATGATATTGTAAATATTATAAAATTAATATAATTTGTAAAAATATTTTTTCAAGATAACTAAAATGTGTTTAACAACCAAAATAACTGGTTTTATTCAAGTACAAAATATTATTTATTATGAATGAATCAATGTGACTGTCACACCAACATCATTTTAAGGGGTCAGATCAGGTAGAGAACTACGCAAAAATTACGTTTTTTTTTAATATATATATTTTTTATTAAAGTACATTTTTCTTTGATCTTTGATGTAAAATACTTAAATTTAAAAAATTTATTAACATAAATTCTCTATTGAGTCATACTGTTACCTATAAAATGAAATTAGCATCAACTCACAGTTTGTGACTATTTGTATAACTGACATGGGCCTAGAATAATATAATAGGGTTATAGGAATATATTATTAGATAATGTAAAATAAAATAAAACAAACAAATAAATACATAAATAAAAGCAGAATTTTTGCACCACAGTTTCAATTTCAGTGACATTTTGTCCCTTTTATTGGCATTTTGTACCCAGCCCTCATTAATTTGCTGACTCTAGTGTATATTTCAGCAGAACTGCTGCTGGAATTCATGGGGCCCAGGACCAAACTGGACCAAACTATTGGTGCCCAATGAGTAGGCTATACTATAAGACAGTGCTTCCAAATCTTTGTCCTGAAGTCCCCAAACTGAATTGCATACAACTACATTGTAGATGTCTCCCTAATCAAACACATCTCATTCAACTCATCAGCTCAATAGTAAAGACTCCAAGATCTCAAATGTTCATGTCACATATAGGGTTGTATTGGTATAATATTTTCACTGTATGATAACCATCTCAGAAAAGTTTCACGGTATATGGTATCATACAATGTAATTTGATATTAATTAATTTGTAAATATTTCAGGTGCACGTCAGTTTTTCTAGGAAAAAAATCTCTCAGTTGGAAAAAAATGGAAAAAATCATCTAATGCTGTAAACTATGGGAACCCTCTCATTTGGTACATAAATATAATATTACTATTACAATTATGAATATAATACCTAAAACATATTATATTCATTTTATACTTATCATATTTACTAATTATATATAGCCTATTATATTCACACTCAATTAAAAATGCTGTACAGCCTACAGTACAAACATTTAAATTGCACACAAGGTATTTTTTCATAAGAACTTGTCTTCATGACTGATGTCATTCATAAATAATGAACAGGTTAAGTAAATAAGCACCTTTCTAGTGATTTTTTCTAGCTAACTAACAAACTATGAACATCGGTCAACTTTCCTGAGGTAAATATAACATTAAGTCTTTTATTAAATGTTTTATTCGTACCTTTACTTGACTGAAACTGTAACGGGTTGATGCATGGAAGAGGAGAGGCAGGATCCAAATGCTAGCAGTGTGAGGTTTTGTAATCCAGGGCATAAACAGGAAACAAGAACACAGGGAGAACAAGGCAAAGGAAAACACGCTACAACATAGCAAAGACAACAACTGACAAAGACTAAGGCTAACACGGGGGTATATATACACACAGGTTAACAAGATAACAAAAGGGTGGAGCTAATCAATTACCTAGACAACTAACGAGGGTACCATGGAGAGAAACGGTTATATACTGTAAATATCCCTGTGTTTCGTTTGGTGAAGGGGTCACAGGTGGTCTCGCTGGAGCAGCAGGTGGAGAGTGTGGAGAGGAGCATTGTGTTCCTTAGACAGGAGCAGCTGTCTCTGCTGCATGGACTACATCTGGAGATCCTGTCCCTCCAGAAACGCTGTACAGGTGTGTGTCATGACCATTCCCACAGTACAGCCACCTGCATTTGATTTTGAGTAGTTGTACACACATGAAACAACGCACATAATTGAATTGAGCAACATTTCATTTATCATAAATCACACCTAATTGGATGTCAATCCAAATATAATGTTAGCATGCAATTTAATTGTGTTGTCATGCCCTAGATGCACAGATCCAGTGCAGAGGAGAGCAGGGTTACGTTGCTCTCTTTGGTGGCACAGGCTCCACAGAGAGAACCATGGGTCAATAGCTTCCTGTCAGTGCAGGGTTTGTGTTTTCCCTCTCAGTAATATAGGACACGACCTTTCAACCTGAACATTGCTGGAAATGTGCTGAGCCTGCTAGCGCAGAAAAACCAGCACACTGCATATTCATCTCTTTGCTGTTCTGCCCTGTAGAGCAACCAATCATACTATAGTTTAAAGCCTTCTCAGTATCTGCACCACAGGAAATCAGTTTTTCTTTTGCAACCCTTTGATATATACACTACCATTCAAAACTTTGGGGTCAGTAAGATTTTTTTAAATGTGTTTAAAGTCATACTCAACATTTATTTAGTCAAAAATACGGTAAAAATAGTAATATTGTAGAATATTATTACAATTTAAAACAACTATTTATTTTATAAAACATCCATTTTAATATATTTTCAAACGTAATTGATTCCTGTGATTGCAAAGCAAATGATGATTTGGTGCTCAAGAAACATTTCTTATTATTATCACTTTATCAGTATTGAAAACAGTTGGTCTGCTTAATATTTTTGTGGAAACCATGTTTTTTGGGGAGAGGGAGAGGGGATTCTGTGATGAATAGAAAATTCAAAAGAACCGCATTTATTTGAAAGAATATTTTTGCAACATTATAAGTATATTTACTGTCAGTTTTAAACAATTGAATGAATTATTGCTAAATAAAAGTATTAATTTCTTTAAAAAAAATCATTCTGCCCCCATACTTTTGAATGGTAGGGTAAATTATATTGTTTAATTTAAATTAATTGGCTTTATTATTGCTTTATTTTACTTTTTATTGCTTTTACATCCATAATCTGACACATGTCCAAATGAAATGTAAAATGTAGGGTGGGACATTTTATGCACTAAACAATTCATTGAATCATATAAATGCTAAATCGAATCAAATTAATTCCAAATCAGTACTAATTTAGAACTTATGGCATGGTCTATAATGATTCTGGAATGTATCATAAAAAAATTTTTTTTTAAAAAGGCTCAGAAATAAAAGTGTATCTGTGTGTTACTTACAGAACTTACACAGGAACTCAACATGAAGCCCCCAGGCAGGAGTGAAGCAGGTGAGCTCTGTTGCATTCCAAAAATGTTGTTTCATGTATTTGTGAATGGAGTTTTTGTATTTTTGGCACAGGTGTTCAGTTCAGTACACAGCAACAAGAACAACAGCTGTAGCTAGTATTTAGGTTATATGCTGGTAGATATTGATATTTGTTACTAGATCACATTTGAAAGACTTTGGCATACATGAAAACATATTGACTCTGATAATAAATAAAATTATCCACTAGACACTTCTTTTGTTGTTACAGTTCCATATAATCAGCAAAATTCTAGTGATTAGATTTAATGCAAATATAGTGTTTTAATGACCATGTCTTATTAATGTGATAATAATTTATCTAAAATGCAAACCAATCGCACATTAAGCGCCACACAATGTACAAGCAGGAGACGACTCCTCTCCGTACTGCAGGTCATCCCTCTCTCCTCCAGCCTGACGCAGCCTCATCCTCCCACAAATTGATCCTGCCTGCGTTTTCGTCTACGCTTGCTGCACATTCCCAGTGGGGGTGTTCAATTACAGCTTGTTCTTTTGCTGAGACAAAGTTGGGCAAGGAGACAGAGAGGAATAGCACAAAAAAAATGAGAATAGAAAAGAAAAAATAGATTTTTAAATTATAATCAGACGTGGTGAGTTTTAAATCTGTTTGTACAAATGACTAATAATTTAGTAATCAGTTACCACAATATGAACATCATGTACACTACAATTCAAAAGTTTGGCGTCAGTGAGATTCTTTGTTTGTAACTTTCTATATGATTTTAGCAAATGGCTGCAATATAACAAAGAGTGAAAAATTTAAGGGGGTCTGAATACTTTCCGTACCCACTGTATATATATATATCCTTAAAAATATTCCACAGCACAACTATTTTCAACATTGATAATAGTAAGGATCATGTGACACTGAAAACTGGATTAACGGCTGCTGAAAATTCAGCTTTACCATCACAGGAATAAATACCTTTATTTTAATGTCTTCTCTACTGCAACAAAGCTGTGGCCTAACTGCAAAGTTTCCAGGATCAAGGTTGTTAGTATGATATTTTTTTTCTACAACAGTTCAATAAACAAGAAGTTAATATTGTGTAACTTATATTTAAGACACAATATTACCAATATTTCATGTATTTGTGCTCTGCCAGTGAAGATAATTCCAAACGAAGGTGTAATAAACCTTTACGTCGCTGAGCAACACATACATAGCAGTTGCGTTCCTGAATGAACTGTTGTGTCCAAACGAATCAGCTGATTGAATGATTCAATGAGGTCTGTGTACTTTTGTGTCTATTCATTTTTTTGTTTTTTAACCCAGAAATAAAATATGGAAAAGGTGTTTTTTCCTTAATGGTTCAAACACTGATGAATAGAGTAAGCAGACACAAACTAATTTTCATTATTCAAAATTCGTATTTCATTAAAAATCATAAAAATTACATAAAGCTCGTTTTTTAATGAATATAACTGCTAAATTTAGTTTCTAGCTTTTTTTACTGTCTCTGTACAGATGGCCTAAGCTCCCTCTCGCGCTACTGATGTGGCTACCTCTAATCTATTGCTTTATGAAAACCTTTGGCTTAGATATTTTTGTGATCTTGATAATTGTTCACGCCTAAAAACATTACATTATTACATGTGTCTTTGCATTTAAATGCATCCAGGACCAGTTCTACGGGAGTGTTAGGGGGAACGAAATGAAAGCAAGAGCACCTCAGTTGAAGCTGTAGAAATAGGATATACTGACGAAACATATTTTCCAGACGCTCCAGTGTGTATTTGTGTTTGAACTTTGGAGAGCTTCAAAGGTTTCTATTTTTAGCGTGCAATCACCGACATTTCTGTTGATTTCTTGAACGCAATGGCTAAGCTGAGGCATTTACGTTAGAATCCATTCACCGCTCAAAACACCACAGTTTTGATCAGTGCTGCACGCTCGGGAATCTCTCATTAAAACGAACAAAAAAAGATTTAAATAACAAATTCACTATGCAGTGTAGAGCTTCATTGATTATAACGGAACTTTTGGAGATAGCGATAAACTGAAATGAGTGACACTTTTTAGTGATTATACTCTTTGGCTATAATCCATTCAGAATTTGAATAAGTTTTGTTTTTCATGATGCTACTAAGAGGACCAGTGACCTCTCACATGCTGCAAAGTTTTGGGAGTGACATTCATGTCAAAAATATGTCAAAAGAGATGTACATTAAGGCTAGAGCACCCTCAATTATTTCAGAAACACCCTCAGTGATTTGATTCTGGAACCGGGCACTGCCTGTATCTGGAGAAGTAGGAGAAATGATAATTTTATATATTTCTATGTTATATTTATACAGTATATTTACCCCATATATTAAAGCCTCATGTGTAGCGCTCATACTGAACGTGCATTGAGTGACCATGCATGGTCCTCTCCAATACCGTGACCCAGATAGCACACAAAATTATGACTAAATTATACCCCAATATTTAATTTCATGATGATAAAGTTCCCAGAATTCTGCAGTGTCTATTTTAAAATCATATAATGTAATGAATTAGGTCTCTGCATTGTTCCAGAGACGGCTCTAGCAGGAGAATTAGCCTACTTCTAATTTGGCCAAAGAAAACTTGTAAAATTGACATTTTTCTATATTTGTGCATTTTGAAAATGTTTGTTAAAGGTGCTAAAAGTCATTTAAAAAATCTGAAAAGAAGTCAATATTTTACTTTTTCGGGCAGCATTTTGTGTGTAAAGTACTAATTTAAATTTTAAAATACAACAACCATTCTTTTTTCATTTTTTTCCATCATGGTTATAAAAAAAACGAATGGACACAAAAGTACACGGACCCAATGATTTACTTATGTCTCCACCTACTGACCTAACAATGTATCCTACAGTCACTGTAAAATACACATTGCCAGTGCACATAATAACAGTATGTTCAGAACGCAGATACACAGACAAGTGGAAGAGTGAAATATTTAATGCTGAAATCATTTTATTTCTCACGGACAGGCAAAATAATCTTCTGAAGTAACTGCGGTGCATCACAAATAGAAACAGGGCGTGTTAACTGATGCTGCGTTGTGACTACCGAAGCCTGTTTACAATGTAATACTTCTTTGCTGTGAATGATTTTTCATCTGAGATCAAACATCAGCATGTTTTGGATGTGTTAGTTTAGTCTTCAAAGAAGCCCAAAGGAACAAACACTGTTTGATGATGGAAATGATTTCATAATTTACAAGCATATTGCTTGCACAATGTGAATATTAAATGAACAATACTCATCTTTTTTTGATGTCTATCACTTCCTATCTGCACAAATACCTTTGTCAACTGATTGTTGTCGACATCTCAGTTTCATTACACATTCTATTAAAAGGGTCAGAGGCAGCAAAAAGTGAACTCAATGAGGAACAGTGGAGAGATCAGATTTAGGGATCGGATAACACAGCATTTTCTATAGTCACATCATGAGTTCATCTCAGTCTGGATGCATGGGGTGGGACTGATAGGCTGGCTGTGAAATCAGGACAATCTGGACAAACTGATGTGCTAGTATAGTGCAATAAAATAGAAAAAAAAAACACACAAGTGAGACAAAAAAGAGGGAAAGTTGTTGAGCTCACAGCAAAAGGTCATCAGGTTCATGTGGATCAGGTGTAGAATGTCTGACACTGATTCCTATAACTCACCTTTGGTCTACTTAGCCTGCCATTTTATCTGAAAGACATTACATTAATGTGAGGGTAAAGACGCCTTCAACTGAAAAATACATTTTATCCTTCATTTGTTTAATTATAGTTAAATGACATGTTAAACACCAGCTGCTCTTCCATGCTTCGAACTAATTCTATGACACATTTTCTCACTCATAATTTACAGTATATAGTGTCAGATACATGGAATTTACAGTAATATGATAGTGATTTAAGATTTGTTAATAGTGCTCTATACTTTTACATTTATTGATTTAGTAGAAACCTTTTTCCAAAGTGGCTTTCTAATGAGAATACAATTATTTACTTCACATTTGCTCTATGCTTTGAGGGCAGAGTAGTCAAGCGTGCTTAGGGAGGTCTTATCCTAGACATTTAATGTGTCTGATAACCCTGAACAGATGGCACACCATGCCAGTAGCCAGACCAGAGATGAGATTAGTTGATTTGGATTTGGTCAGTGAGTCCCGTAATCCTTGGGCACAGAAGAGCCTTTTGTCTACTTTCCTCTCCCACATCCACTTACCTTTTAGATCGCAGATTAGTTAGGAATTTGGTTTTACGGCTAAATCTGATTTTAGATGGAGGGCTTGTTCATATTATTCATGCCGGTTTCAAATCACAAGGTAGATTATACATGATACTTCTGAGTCTTCACTTTTTCTGGTTTATGTTTATGCTGCATGTAAAACATGGGCTAAACTCTAGATGTGAATTACAGGGGGGTTTAATTCACCACACTGTCAGGAAATATATACTGAACAGAGGGTATATGAATCCAGAAACAAATTTATTTGGACACAGGGCGAGATCAGGAGAAAACAGGTGAGTATAGCAAGCATAAACTGAATGAGCAGAGTATTGATGACGAATAGAACAGTCCTGCTTTGTCTTACAGATGGCGATAGAGACGGAGAAGCACACACCTCAACAATGGTATCCACAGGTAAATAGTAACTGGAGATATCTTCGAGAACAGACATAGGAGTACCAGGAATCTTCACAGGTAAGCACAGAGACCAGGTAAGTGAGTCTTTCCTAGTTCAAGGCCAGACGCTGACTGAGGCTGAGGTGTGTGCTTAAATAGTGTGCCGATGACATTGTAATTGTTGACAGGTGCGGGTAGTTAATATTCGGGTGATTGGGAGTGCTGGGTAGTGGAGGTGAGAGAGTCTGTTCGATCTGTGACATTACTCCCCTCTACATGGTACGCTCCAACGGACCGAGGACCCCGACATCACGGTGACCTACCCCATGCTCGAGGAGCTGGACGATGAGGATGTTGTTGATGGAATTCTGTGAGAAGAGCCGCATCTAGAATGTCATCTCGAGGTACCCAGCATCTTTCCTCTGGGCCATAATTCTCCCAGTCCACCAAATATTCCAAACGGCCACCACGGCGTCAGGAGTCCAGAATTTCCTTGACAGGATCCTCGATGATCTGAGGCGCAGGGGGCTCGTCACTGGGGCCAGACTCTGTGGAAGAAGCAGATACAGGTGGATGGTAAGGTTTTATCAGGGAGACGTGAAAGACTGGATGAATCTTATACTGTGAGGGGAGCTTGAGTTCATATGTGACAGGATTAATTTGACTTTTGCCCTGGAATGGACCGATGTATTTGGGACTTACAACAAGGTGGGCGCAGACGAATGGTACCTCCGATGGTTCACCTGACCACAGGAACAGCGGGGGCTGGTAGCCAAGTATACATAGGAATGGTGTAAGGCCTGTTGATGGTTGTGGTCAAATTATTATTTTTTTTATTAAGAGTGCAAAACATACAACATACGGTGAACACAAAACACAAAAACAGCAATAGAACAGCAATGATAATAACAGCAATGAAAATAAACAGCAATGACAATCTGAATAATAGTAGTAGTATTAAGTAGTACTAACATGCATAATAATAATAATAATACTAAAGATGGTGATGATAACAATAATACCTTGTGATGACGGCAACTGTAATATCAATAATAATAAAAGTAATAATAATAATAATAATAATGATGTAATAATAATAATGTAATAATGACACATACCCAACACATACCACACCTATCCTAGCTTCTGTGTCAGTGGTCAAGTTTTTTTTTTTTTTTTTTTTCATTCACGGTAAGATTACTATATGCATATGTATGTATGCCTAAGATGAGTATGCCATTTTTAACAACAGTTTGGTTGTCGTCAATTTACACGATCGCAAATCGGTTCAGGAAGTTCCGGAGTACCTTGTTCATGAAATTCTGGAATACGGAGGGGCCGTTGATCAGGCCATACAGCATAACCCGGTACTCATAGTGTCCAGCTGGAGTAATAAAGGCGGCCTTCCACTCGACCCCCTCACGTATCCGAATGAGGTTGTAGGTTCTTCGAAGGTCCAACTTGGTGTAAATGGAGGCTCCCCAAAGTTGTTCCAAAGCAGCTGGGACGAGGGGAAGAGGATATCGGAACTTTATGGTGATCTTGTCGAGTGCCCGGTAGTCACTGCAAGGCCGCAAGCCTCCTTTTTGCCAGGAAGTAGAAACTGGAAGCAGCAGGAGAAGTGGAAGGACAGATGTAACCTTGCTTGAGAGCCTCGTCTATGTACTCCTCCATGGCCTTCTGTTCGGGTATGGATAGGGAGATAGACACATCCACAGGGTACTGACTCACCCGGTTCCAGGTCGATGGCACAGTCCCATGGTCGATGAGGTGGTAACTTGGATGTTTGCTCCGGGCAGAAGACATCTGCGAATGAGGCATAACAGGTAGGGATATCCACGGATTGTTTATCTACTGGACTCTCAATGGACGTGGTGTTCACAGGGACAATCAAGGGTGACTGAAGAAGTCATGGAAAACAGGTAGGAAAGCATGTTGGCCCCCATTGCAGAACGTCTCCAGTGGTCCAGGATGTTTTCGGTTGGAGTTGTATCAGCCAGAGGGATGAATTTTTCTTCGTGCAGGCAGCCAACTCGCAACGTCAAGGGTTTAACTTGGTATATCGTACCTCTTCGGTTTAACACTCTTCCTGTTACTGATTGGACCTGGTACGTGACAGGAGTGTGAGTCTTCTTGAGCTGTAGCTGCCTGAGAGAGCCTGACTGATTTGTGACACACACAGGGTTAAAAATTTTAAAGTACAAGTTTTTAAAAGTACATATACCAAATGTTTTAATCACACATATTACACACGTGTTTGATTTTTTTTTGCCAGCGATTTACTTTACATTTGCTCTATGCTTTGTGGGCACAGTAGTCAGGGAGGTCTTGTCCTAGACATTTAATGTGTCTGATAACCCTGAACAAATAAATGAATACTTTTATTCAGCATGGATGCATTAAATTAATCAAAGGTGACAGCAAAGACATTTATAATGTTACAAGATTTCCATTTAAAATAAATGTTGTTCTTTTGAACTTTATATGCATCACAGAATCCTGAAGAAAAAAAAGTATCAGTTTCCACAAAAATATTAAGCAGCACAACTGTTTTCAATATTAATAATAAAAACAATAAATGTTTGGAGTAATGATGCTGAACATTCAGCTTTGCCATCACAGGAATAAATTACATTTTAAAATATATTAAAATAAAAAACAGTTATTATTTCACAATATTACTTGGTGTGAATAAGAGACCTCTTTCAAAAACATGTAAAAATCTTACAGACAGTAAGTACATAATGAACAGTTCAACAATGTTTTTAAAGTTAGAGCACATTTTCACATTGTTGTAGAATAAACTCGATAATGTGGATAAAACATTGATTTCTCAATTTAAGATTTACAGATCACAAGTATGTCACACAATTTTTTATATAATTTTTTAAAAACATATTTATACAATATGATATATTTGTACAATATATTATTGATGCAATATAATATACTTTAATATCAAAATGTCTTTAAGATTGTCTGTTGATGTTGATAAATTTGCTTGGGGCTTGCAAAGACAATTTAAGTTGTTCAAGACGAACTTGAAACAATCATGTCATGTCTATAATTTCAGAAGGTTGTAAAAATCAACCTTCTGAAAGTTGTGTAATAAACAGTGCTTGAACTTACAGACCATGTCTGTGGTTAATCACACTGAATCACAATTTATTACAATAAACGTTTCTGTTCTATATGTCTCCCAGAGGTGACGGAGGAAGAGGAGCAGCTGGAAGCCCGTTGTGAGGAGGTGGAGGAGCATCTGCAGGAGCAGCAGCAGATCCAGAGTGATCTGCGATGGGAGCTGAGTCAGAAGTCCGTCCTAGTGGGTGCTCTCCGCGCCAGTCTGAAGGAAAAGGAGCGCCATTTCCTGGAGGAATTAAAACACCGCAGCCACAGGACCACTGTGCTCAACACCGAGCTGCAGAAGCAGACAGAGGCGGCTGCGTACCTGTCCTTCCAGCTGCATTCAGCCAAGCAGAAACTCCATCAGCAGAGGCAGCAGCAGCAGCACAGGAGGCCTGCCCAGTCTGGTGTGGACAAGCCTCCCATCCACCCTTCGCCTCAGGCCAGTGCCAGCAGCCTGACCACCATCAAACCCAAACGACGGAGCTCGAGCCGGCCTTCCTCGCACCTCCACACTGAACGCGCCAGGGAGTGTGTGCCGCGCGAGAGGGTGACGGGCCCCGAGGAGCCTATGGCCATGCCTGACCCCGCCCTCTTCTTCTACCCCTACAGACACAGATCCCGGCTCCGCCCACCACACAAACATGCCCTGCAGGAGGCGGAGGGGGAGGAGTCAGAGGAGCTCGATCAGGGAGCTTCTGTAAGCAGACTGGCAACAACAGTAGCTAAAGCCACTGCGACCACTGCGTCCACCACAGAGAACAACGCTGAATGAGCGTTTCTTTTACAGTTCAACCTGCTTGTTTTTATGATATTTCAACCTTAATTGCACCTTGAGCCCCTTGGGAGAACCAGTGGCAGAAATGTTTATATTTGCAATACAGTTTGCTTTTTTTACAGTTTGCACATGCAGTGATTATTAGACCGAGGAGAGATTTTTGCTTACGTTCTTGTTGAACCAAAATCGACTCGTGTTTATGTTGCTGTAAAGCATTTTTGTAATCAAAAATGACCCTGAGGGCCTCAATACATGAACATGAAGTGCTTCATAAGGCCTGTTTTATGCGTCCTGTATCTGTGGTGTGGAGCTTGTTCTCTGGCTATATTAACAGGTTACAGCATTCACACTGACATTTGTACTGAATGAAGGTATAAATGCAATTTAGTTTAGATCCGGATTCGAAACATGTTCATGCCAGATCACACAGCACAAAACACATTTAAAATGCAGGATAAATATATTTATTGACACAATATTTAGCAGTATAGGCATTTATAAAACAGCATAATAATGTTTTTTTTTCTTTTTTTGTATAAAAGATATCTGGCATTGTTTATGTTCAGTAAATCTGAATCAGAACAGCTACACTTCAAAGGTGTTTTGGCTTCATGCTAATTACCATTTGGATGTAAATGCAGTCACATCTTCATTTAAAGTAATAATACTCAGTTGCAGACTACCAATAACCATTTCAAATGTTTTAGGCTTTATTAAAAGAAAAATGCAATGTAGTAACTCAGAAATCACTTTTCGAGCTGCCGAAGTGCTGTCAGTGTGAAATCACGACACTGCTGTTTACTTGCTGCAGACTCAAGATGTGCATAACAGGCTGAAGTCAGTGTCCTTGTGAGCTTGTTACTGCTTGAACTTGAGTCTTTGTTCAGCTGTTGTTGTTTTTTTTTAAATCTGTGTGCCCTTTTTGTGAAATAGCTCATCAGATATTTCTGAATGATCAGGTTGTCTGTCTGGTGTCACCACAAGTGCACTCTTTCAGCCCTCCAGATGCGATGGAGATTTTATCACCTAAATACTCGTTTAATCAGATAGAGAAATCCTATGTGAATGAGATCTATACAGCCTGAATCAGCTTTATCTGCTGTATAGTGTGTTTATGTGTGGGCTTGTTGATTAGAAGAGAGTGGGCTCAAGGGTCAACGCGCCATTGTTCTGCCATCAATTAAATGAGCCAGTGATGCCCAAAGGACTGATTAGTTTTAAGCTGCTTATGCTGTAATGTTTTATTCTGATGTTGCAGATAACATGTTTGCATATGTGCCATTAGAATCAGAATGCTGTTTGTTTTATAATTCTGTGTGGCCAGGTATGTGTGCATATACCAGGAGCTATGGTGATTTGATGACTAATAGCAATGTGATACATATCGCAAACATATTAAGTGTTTGTATCGCAAAAGCTTGTAAATTCATAATATGCAAGATTAGAAGTGGTGTGGCACAAATCAAGGCTTAACTCCTGGTCTTTGATGTGTAACTAAGAGAGGGTTAGTCCATGGAAATGGATTGGATGGGAGTGAAAGGCAACATTACCTTTCTTGACAACTAACAGACAAGTTTAAAGGATAGTTCTCTCAAAAATGAAAATGTGCTGATATTGTTCTCAAACTCAGGCCATCCAAGATGTAGATGAGTTTGTTTCTTCATCAGAACTGATTGGGAGAAATTTAGCATTACATCACTTGCTCACCAATGGATCCTCTGCAGTGAATGGGTGCCGTCAGAATGAGCATCCAAACAGCTGATAAAAACATCACAATAATCCACAAGTGATCCACATGAATCCAGCCCATCAATTAACATCCATTACCCATTCACTGCAGAGGATCCATTGTAATTGAAATTCCCATTGAAATTTTTGGGTGAACTATTCCTTTAATAAGGGGGCCTAATAAGTAGGCTATACCATAGAGGACTGTAGTGTCACAGGGCTAAGGACAATATTCCTGGTTGTTAGCCTGTGACAACAAACATCATTTTGCAAAATAACGTGACAGTAAAAGATTTAGTAGCAGCACCTATTTACAAACTGTTCTAAAGATATTTACAATTGTATATGTGGTATTTCTCTTTGCTTTATTAGATCAGATGATAATTTTGCTTTGAATATTGAATGTTTTAGGTTGTTAAAAATCCAAATATGAAAAGCAGCCCTCACAGGGATTGTTACTGAATGCATAAAATGTTTTCCTTTCATCTTAAAATTGTGTCTAATTTGACACAGCCCTAACAAAGTGATATTTGCTTCACTCAGGGCCCGAAACCTTATTTTGTAAATGTATACGCATATGCCTGACACTATTTAAAAGGCCTATAACCAGTTTTTGTATTGTATCAGTGTAGAAATAGGGAGGATTTAGAATGCAAGTAGGTTGAGTTAGACTGCGTGATACACCATATAATCACATCCACTAGTTAATTAATAGATTTCTGTTTTCAATTTAATGATTCATCTTGGAAACATATTTTTGCTTATGAAATGCTTAATCGTTCTTAAGTTCTTTATAATTGTGATGTTAAAGAGATAAGCAATACTGCCTCACAAGATGACGTCTACATAATCATATTTACAAAATACATTTTTGAACATTGTGGTGAATTTGAAACAATTATCCATAGATACAGTTCATGCAATATCTGTTTTTTTTCTGATGTTATTTTGTAGTCCCCATTCCATGAGATGAACAGTGTGCTAATTAAGGGTCTTATGTTTATTTTATTTGGCTTTTTTGTCCTTAATGGAATAACCTGTCTTCCCTTAAACTGGTAGAGGTTTTAAAACCACTATTCGGTTGTCTTGTTTTTAAAGGAGAGGGATGAGACAAGTGATTTGAACTCAATTTCATGGGAAACTACAGTAATGTTAACACACTGTATGTGCATGTTTGGACAATACCAGACATCAGTGTCCTGTTTCACAAACATTTGGAAAGTCTTGAAATGTACACAGTAATTCAAATCTCTGACAACCCACAGAAAATTGTGCAACAATAATGTGTCTCAATAAATAATCCACTGTTTACTCTATATTATATGATTAAAGGGGTTTATTAAATCACTGTATCAGTCCTTATTCATGGTTAGTCAACATGTCAACATCATTGACTTTAGAGAATAAATATTGTTGCTAATGTTATTGATTTCCTCAACCCTACAAATGTGTCCTATACAATATTTCAGGGGAATAAAATCCTAATCACACTGATATGAAAAAGCCATACTCAAAAGGAAACCTTCAGTACATTTAAAGCAAGTTTTATTACCAAACAGCAGAGAACATACTGGAAATATGTTGATGACTCAATTTCATGAGTTTTACACATGTAGGCTACTGTAAAAAAAAAGAAGAAGTTGTAAATAAGACAACAATTATTGATGTTTTACAAGAAAATATTATTAGTCTTTGTACTTCAAAATGTTTAAATCACATTGTTACTTGCTTTCTCTCTGTATTCATTTGTGAAATTTACTAGAAATTTCGAAGTGATTTTTTCCAAGTAAATCCTACACCTACATTTTTTTTTCAGTGAAAAAGTTTTTTTTTCTTTTTTAAGAAATACTGTTTTATTAACGTTTTTAAGACAATATATATCCAAAATGACTGAATCATAGCTGCAACAAACCAAAATAAACACCCTTATTAGTAAAACTCTTAAAAATGTAATATACAGATATTTGGGAGAAAATGTACAAATTAACAAAGATGGGTCTTTTAATTAATCTTCCAGTAAATGAAAGTCTCATCATTCTAGCAAATTTGCAGGCATGTTTAATATTCGATTGGAAATGATGGACAATAGTTACAAATAAAATACAGAGATTTTTGTCTTCATACACTTACATTTATAAAGAATTTACCTAGAATCAACATTAAATTAATAAAATAAATCTGCTTTTTGTCATCCAACAACATTACAAATACAATATGGTTTCAAAAAAATTAAAAATAAATAAAATACATAAAAATCCAATTACTGCTTCCACAAATTCAGTTCACTTGAAGGATATATAGACCTACCATTAAATATTTTGAAGTTTTGAAATATACAATTATTTGTAACATTTTGTTAAATTATTACTAAATCGTTTTAAACCGGATCTTTGAAAAGAAGACAGAACTCGAAAGAACCGAATTTCGGAAGTGAGTCGGACCTCCCATTATTATTGAGGTATTATGCAGATCCTTTTATCTGTTGCAGATCCTTTTATGCACACACAGGAATTTTAAATCTGGTTCACGTAACATATTTTAATAAACTGTGTTAAATAAAGAACAAACTAAATGTTAAACCGAGTCAGTAAAATGCGCTTCTCCAAATGGAGCTATCGGGCTGCCGTAGCCGCGTGTTTGGTGGTGGGTGGGACAAATACAAAGGCAAGCAGGTCAAGAGAGGAGGAGAAACCACGTGTGACAGCCAGGCTGAGAATTGTCCTTTGCAAGTAAAGTTGCTTTTGTAGTATCTTTGCATGTAACCAGGCAGCCATTACGTCTGACGGAGAAGGCCATTCAACAAACCCGCAGCAACGGACATCTGTTGCTTAACTCCGAAACCAAAAAAGTCTTCTTGGAAACGAATCATGGTTAGCAAGACGGATGACATCCCAGCATCAGTTCCGAACTGCAACCCCGTTGATCTTGCCCGGGAAGGCGAGATAGCAAACAGCAAAGACACCAGCAAGACAGCCTTGAAGGATCCATGTGCCTGCGGTAAGAGAGCTTTACAGCCATTTACATTGTAGCATGCAGAAGTCACTCAGCTCTTACTGATCCTGATGTATTTTAACAAAAGACCATTGCAGTTGAGAGTAAATCAGTGTTGAGATCTGTTGTATGATTGACTGGATAGAGGTCAAAGTGAAGTAGGAGTCAAAGAACATAAACAGGCAAAGTGCTGCAGGGGTGTCTGCTTAACACCCATAAACACCATTATGTTTCTGAAAGGGAAGTAAAGTTAGGAGCATTCATTTTTAGGTCTTGCCTAATGTACTTTCTTGATCTGGATCTTATCGTGGTGCTTGGCTGTAGATAAACTCATTCACATGGTATTTCTTAGTAGATGAATTTCTAAAAGAAGGCAGGTTATAAAGCTTAAATTGAAATAAAAGGACCGTTCTGTGTCAGTGGTGTGATTGGGCTTCTCTTTCTGATCTTTTCAGTCATTCATTATTACTGGATACATATTTAAATTATCTTGTTGTGGTTGAACTATTTCTATCAAATGTTTTTGTGTGATTTTAATACTAATTTAGGGTAATAGGGTGGTAAACTATAGCAAAGGTGAATGTAAGCAGAGGTCTGTTTACTCAGGCATTATTATTTTGCATGAATACACACATAGCAGTGACAAAAATAAAATGAAGAAGTGTTTATTGTAATTTAATGTGTCCCAGTTCAGCTTTTTCAGTCATTTAGGACTGTAGCCTAATTTGCAATTACATGAAACAATACTACAATCAATTTAAATATTTTGTTTGAATAAAAAAAATGTTAATTGCAATATAGCACAAAAGACAACAGAATGACAAACATTTATGTATGTGTGCTGTAGCAAATTAAACAATAAGTGCAGATCTGGGACAAATTATTCAACAACCACCTGCTGAAGCTCTTAAACTTGAACGCTAGAGATCAACCGGGACGTGTTATTTGTTATTTACAGGGTAACTTTCATTATTAACAGTGTAAAGAATTGTCAGTAGCCTTGCTGTGTGTGAGATCCTGACGCACATGTTCTGTAACAGCGCGCATGAGCACCAATGAACTGAAGGTCACCTTCAGTGGGACGGAACTATTGAGCGCGATAGGGAGAGCGCGCTTTTACTACGGTCTGATCTTTAGGTGACTCTTGATTGAATAGTTTAAATGGCCAAAAGAGCCTATTATATCGAAAGGTTTTCTTAATTTACTTTCCAAAAAATATCGTATTAATAATTAATAGCTTGCTTAAACGCGCGCCTGTCAATCGGCCCCCCTCTTGTTTTCATTCAGGAAAAGTGTTGCGCTCCTCGACCGGGAAGCGGAAGTAGCCACGCATGGAAAGTCATGGTGCATGTATGCCGATAGAAGGTTATTGCTACCAGTTAAATATAGAGGGATCTGTTTGGTAAGTTCTGGGATTACACAGTTTGCCTACCACGTAGGAGTGATCCTGTAATTTGCGAATCATTTTCGAGCTACAAGCTGTCATTAGATCCGTTTTAGAGCACATAGCCGGGTGTTGTGCGCACTGTCAGTTGGCGAGCTGCTGCAGTTCGTGTCACATTTAAGGAGACCTTGGAAGAGACTGACTGGCATTATGGCACCTGACAGTTGTGGAATGGGTCACTCTCTGACAGCCTTTGACTGTGTTTACTATGTTGGATTTGATGCTGGAGATGATGTCTGATTGTGCCTGATGTGATCTCTTCATGAGCTGTGAAAGTAAATGTCTTTGTGTGTTTGACATGATTTGTATGCAATTGCATTATGATTATATACGTAATAAATGTTTAATAAAGCTATTTAGGAAGCTGGTTAGACCGTTTTTGTTTTGCACAGCAATTATACTGTAAAAAAAATTGTGTACCTTTTGCACAGCTTAAATTACAAGGATCACTTCTTGCAGCTTTTGTATTGCTAGTGGCAAATGTTCAACACCATGCGCTGTTGTCCCAACACATCATGCCACTCCACAGGGGACCTGTAGAGGCTGCAGACTCATTTACGTCTTGCTTACGTCTCATGTAGGCCACCATGATCACAGTTGTGATAAAGTTTGGCAGGTGTCCCTTGTTGTGCATGACTAAAGGTTTAACGGCAAAGTTTGCTTCGTTTTTCAGATTGTGTTGAAGCATTATTGTTTTCACAATGGGACTTTGCACTTTCCTTTTTATCATTGATAAAATTCACTTTATCTTAGGGAAAACAATAAGTTTGCCTAGTTAGGAGTGTAATAGTGTAATATCTCTGTCCTGAACACTCTGAATGATTTACCTGCATAGGGTTGCATATTAATCGTTAGGGTTTTATTTTTATTCTGAACTGTTCTGAACTTCTGCAGCAGTGCCGCATGTGTTAATGCAGTGGTTCTCAAACTTTTTTGGTCGCGCCCCCCCTTAAACCTATAAAAAAAATCTGTCGACATGACAAAACCCCGACATTAAACTGATGTCTTGTTCTATTTATGACGTACTGACACAAGGTTAAAATGATTTGCAACTGTCGCTTTTTCGCTTCCAGTGTAGACTTGCGGCGCGACGCGACAACTGTAGTGTACGGTATAGACACAGCAAGTGAAGCCGAGAGCAAGATATGCCTCGTCATATTTTCTGCATTTAGCTTTTAAATGGCCAGCACCTGCCTGTATCTGTGCGACTTCATCTATGGCTTTTCTCTTCCCTTTCACAAAAAGATCCACCTCCCATTCTAAGTTACGTCCTTTGGCTGTTTACTGTTTTATTTCTTTTCTTTTTCTGCTGATGGCCCACTCTCGACTTGAAGCAGCGCTGCTTAGAATGATGGGTGTGTCATCAAAGTACTGCGAGAGCTATAAGAGAGC